TGGGATTTGTAGTCGGCTGAGTCATTACAGCTCTCTGGCTGAGAATTTCAAATTTGTTGTTGTGTGCCTCCAAGTCATTTCTGAGTTATAGCGACCCTAAGTGACTCTATTGCAGGGTTATCTTGGCAAATTTATTCAAAGGGGGTTTGCCATTGCCATCCTCGGAGGCTGAGAGAGTGTGACTTGCCCAAGGTCACTCAGTGGGTTTACATGGTTGAGCCAGGATTTGAACCCTGATCTCCAGAGTCATAGTTCAACACTCAAAGCACTACACCATGCTGACAGCCAATCCCAGGATTCCATAGGGTGGAACCATGGCATTAAAACTGGAATAGTAGCACTACGTGAGAAGCATGAGCCAAGGGAAGCGAGACATATTGAAAATGGAAATGCAACGCATTAACATATCAGTACTGGGGGTGAGTGAGTTAGAATGGACAGGAATGGGTCACTCTGAATCAGACAACCACAGTGTTTTACTCAGGGAATGAAAAAACAAGAAGAAATGGTGTGGCTTTCATATTAAGAAAAGATGTTGTAAAAGCAGTCAGAGGATACAATGTAAAACCAGACCAAATCATCTCAATAAGGCTCCATGGGAAACCTATGAATATCACCATAATTCAAGTATATCCACCAACCACTGAGGCAGAACAAGAAAAAATTGATAGATTTTATGAGGGTGTACAGGAAGAAATTGACAACACACCAACACAGGATGTCAAGCTGATCCTTGGAGATTGGGACACAAAGGTTGGAAGTAAAGAAGAATCAAAAACAGTAAGCAGATTTGGACTAGACAAAAGGAATGAAGCAGGTGAATGTCTGATAGATTTTTGTAAAGCCAACAACCTATTCATTGCAAACACATTTTTCATACAATCAGAAAAAAGGTTATACACATCACCAGATGGCCAACACAAAAACCAAATAGATTGCATAATTGGAAGTAAAAGATGGCAAAGCTCTATACTGGTGGCCAAGACTAGACCAGGTACTGATTGTGGCAGAGTTCACAAACTGCTCATTTCAAAAATAAAAGTAAAACTCAAGAAGAGAACAAAACCAGTCATCACACCAAAATATGACTTAAATAACATTTCCACAGAAATCATTGACAATATAAGGAACAGATTTGCAGTA